TGGAAGCCCTGTCAGCGGGCCTCTGGAGGGCTTTGTTTTAAGGTAAGTTTCACATAATATGCTAGTATGCGATGCATACTAGCACATTATGCCATTTTCTTGCATTTTTTTTTTTTTTTAAAAGGTCGCAGTTTACTACCACTTAAAGAAAGGATGAGGTATGTCTACCTATACAACCACAAGTTATATACATAACATTGTCCATCTCTTATAGATTGGTACCCAATGTGGTAGACCCCCCCCAGCATTATAGTCAATGGCAGCATTTCACTTTTGGGAAAAAAGGTTTAATACATGTGGTAGATGCACAGTATGTGGTCCTTGTGCTTCATCTATAAGACTTAAAAATGTTTACTTCTTTTTTCAGTGCTGGGGATTTGTAAGTTAGACATGTATATCCTTTATGACTACTCATGCTACTCATAGGACACAATTGGTCTTGTGGCTTACAGTATATTGGCTGCCCCAAGAGAAGAATGATGCTAGGTTCACATATGTACAGGTGGTGACGCTGCGGATCCGCACGAAACCACCCACAGAGGAATGCGGACCCGCGGCCATAATTCTAATGGCACGCCGCCAGCACTGGAAAACGCAGCCGTACTGGGAACCGAGGTTCCCGTGCGGGCTGTGTTTTCAGAAGAAGACTTCTTCCCTGCATGTCACAGGGCACGGGAGTCCATTCAAATGAAAGGGCTCTCGTGCCCACGCAAAACGTGGTCCGTACAGGCGCATATATGTGAACCAGGGGTGAGGGAGCATGTAAGCAGGTGCAGTTAGCTAGCCTGCCATTAGGTAGCTCTGCTCCCATTATAGTTTGGTACAGGGAATCATTTAAGTAGGTGTTAGGTCCTCTTTAGAGAAAACCTTCCCATAGTGATGTGATGGTGGGATAGTTTTATATATGTATACAGTGGGGATCAAAAGTTTGGGCACCCCAGCTAAAAATTTGTATTAATGTGCATAAAGAAGCCAAGGAAAGATGGAAAAATCTCCAAAAGGCATCAAATTACAGATTAGACATTCTTATAATATGTCAACAAAAGTTAGATTTTATTTCCATCATTTACACTTTCAAAATAACAGAAAACAAAAAAATGGCGTCTGCAAAAGTTTGGGCACCCTGCAGAGTTAATATCTTGTACTGCCCCCTTTGGCAAGTATCACAGCTTGTAAACGCTTTTTGTAGCCAGCCAAGAGTCTTTCAATTCTTGTTTGAGGTATCTTTGCCCATTCTTCCTTACAAAAGTCTTCCAGTTCTTTGAGATTTCTGGGCTGTCTGTCACGCACTGCTCTTTTAAGGTCTATCCATAGATTTTCAATATATATATGAAAAGCTAGTGTTTGGGTGGAACCAAGAGAGACGGGGCATGGGAGCCAAACACCCGGGAGCTACTGCCAAGGGCCCTTCATAGGGCTGAAGCCCTAGGTAAGGTAGTTTAAACACCGAGAAGAACCAGCTGGAGTCATTCTGACTCTTGTTATCATCTGCTTGGACCATGAGCAGGATGTAAAAATATTTTAGGCTAATTGTTCTCTGATGTAAGTACTAAGCACATCTGGGAGAGCGTGACAACAGTGAGCATGCCCGGCTGACAGAGCTACAGTTCGAGACTAAGAGAGAGAAAGAGAGACTGGTATGCTACAGAAAGTAACTTGTAAATCTCATTTTGACAGAGCAGGATGCTTCACATTGTTAATCACGGTTTTAAATAAAGGTGAATGTTACAGAGTCTAGTATTTGGGTTGATGGGTCCCAGCACTGTGGTGCTCCCAAAGAAGAGGCAAGGAGGTACAAATGGAAGATGACTTAAAAGTGATGTGCTAATGTTCTGCTTACCAATGCCTACTACAATATGTCCACTGTTGTGTATGGCATTCTTACTTACAATGTTGTAGTTACATAGTTAGTCGGGTTGAAAAAAGACAATCTAGTTCAATCAATAGAAAAGTAAAAACCACACACAAATAAAAACCTCCATATACACAATCCTATACCTATACAGTTGATCCAATTCTAGTAAAAAAAACACCTGTCAGTGTGTCAAGTGATGTTGTATGTCATTGCTGTCTTTTGAAGAGAAACAGTAAAGTGAAGAAAATACAGTACATCTTTATTGTGGACAATCCTTTGTTTGAGAATATAAAGGCTAATAGGCGGGGATGTCCTGGGAAGGTCTATGGCAAGGAGTGGGCACAATATGGCAAAGGCTTCTACCAGCAGTGGGTGAATGTCCTACCCAAGGAGAAGCGGGGCAGGAGTTTTTGCAATTTATGCCAATATTTAGCCAACTGTGGTCCCCCTTACAAACACATCCACAGTATAAAAATCTGGTTTAGCCACATAACCTTTCTATTCATTGTAGAAACTAAATTAGTAGAAATCTTGAATTACAAAAATTTATGGGTATACTATAAATAGGGTTAAAAAATGATGGTGACGATCAAATAGAACAAGGAATATATCACAGAATTAAACTTAACCCTGGTTCAGATCAGTGCAATTTGTCATGCGATTTGACAGTTTCAAATCGCATGACGAGTCGCACCCCATTGCCAGCAATGGAACCGTTCAAATTGCCGCAGCTCATGTAGCAGCGAAAAAACCTTTGAAAAAGGTTCCTGCATTACTTTTTTAGGATTTCATTGCAATTTATATACTTTTCAGTTAAATGAAGTTGCAAGCTGCAATGAAATCAGAAGTGCAAATCGCACTGATCTGCGGCTTTCAAATTGCATCGAAGTAGCGCGATTTCAAAGCTGCATTGTAGTGAACCAGTGCTAAATGGATTTTTTAGTGGATACCCTGACATCTAGGAGTATATTTATAAAAAGCTGTGAATGTGAGATTCACCAAACATTCACTGCAGGTGAATTAATAAATGTAATAGAAAACACAAGGGCCAGGATGATTGCAGGAAATGTTTTGTGAGTCAGACTCTCTGCTTCATAAGTATGCCCTCTAGTGCTTATAATGTGGAATTGGAGCTAAACTGTTTAGGGGCTTGGTTACACATGCAGTGCCCCCCCGAAGAGCGTTCCATGGTGAAACGTCCTTCAGAGGGCATTTGACAGACAGTGAGGAGGAGTTGTGTTGCCTCTTCACTGCCTAATTTAACCCAGTAAATGCTGCATTACTGCACTACAATTCTGTGCATAGCACGCAGTTGCAGGGCAGTTGTGGCGCAGCCCTATAGACTTGCATTGGTCGCTTTTGGCGGAAGTAACATCTGCCATATGCAACATGCTGTTTAATTTTTGCCATTGTTGGAAAGGACAACATCACAGTTGCAGCATGTGTACAGCCCTGAGTGGCTGCATGCCCTGATTCAGGCAGGCAGTTGAGATTTAGTTGCAGAAAGTCTTGTAAAAGTCTTGTTTGTATACAGGATTTACTATGCCGGAAGGTAGCCAGAAAAGGCAAAATACATAGAACCGTAATGAAGAAAACTAATACAAATTATTGTGCTTTGACGCAGGTACCATCTACCAATGTGGGGGAGAGGGGGGTTAACAGTACTGACAGTGATCAGTGATGCTGGGAGCTATTATTGCAGCCACTGACCCAATGATGGTGGTTATTATTGCATTCACTGACATCAATAATGGGGGATATTATTGCATCCTTTGACACCAATCTTTGGATTATTATTGTGTTCACTGGCACCAATGCTGTTGGTTATTATTGTGTCCATTGACAACAATGCTGACTGTTTTTATTGCATTCACTGACACCAATGTTGGGAGCTTTTATTGCGTTCGCTGACACCAATGCTACAGGTTATTATTGTATTCACTGACACCAATGTTGTGTGGTATTATTGCACTTGTTGACACCGATATTGTGAGTTAATATTGCACTCACTGCACTAATATTTTGGGTTATTATTATTGCGTTCATTGACACCAATGTTGGGAGTTTCTATTGTGTTCACTGACACCAATGCTGGGGGTTGTTATTGTGATCACTGACTGGGGGTTGTTATTGTGATCACTGACGCCAATGCCAGGGGTTATTATTACAGTCACTGACAGCAACACTGGAGGGTTATTGTACTCCAATTTCTTCAGTGTGCATTGTGGTACTCTGCAAAAAATACAGCAGGACAAAAATAAAGTGTACATTCACCCTACAATTAAAGTTACCTTTTTTCATCTCCTCTCTCCCAGTATGTGAAGAAATGACATATGTTTTTGGTTTTTTTTGGTGAGCAAGTACCTTTATTTGGTAGTGCCTACTCCCACTTCCTTGTTCCCCACCTACATATGAATGAAGTCACCCACTGAAAGGGTACATGAGGGTACATGAGGAGAACCGCCATCTCCCAGTGTAAGCTGCAGGACTGCACTGTAAGTTTGATAGCCAGGTGATGCAATGGAGGAGAGGCTCCAGCTCCAGCCACAGCTGCACCCTCCACAGCATTGTTCCCAAGGCAGCTGCCTTTTTGTCTTCTGTTTAGACCCAGCCCTGTATGGACCTGTAGGGTGCAGCAAAACCATCACTGAATCTTCCACGGGGGCCATACTCAAACACATATTTGCTTGCCACCTCACTATTACCGCATTTCATGAATCAGGTAAGTGAGTGGAGCAGTGTTCTCTCCTAATGTACATACACCATATTGCCAAAAGTATTGGGACACCTGCCTTTACACACACATGAACTTTAATGGCATCCCAGTCTTAGTCCGTAGGGTTCATTACTGAGTTGGCCCACCCTTTGCAGCTATAACAGCTTCAACTATTCTGGGAAGGCTGTCCACAAGGTTTAGGAGTGTGTCTATGGGAATGTTTGACCATTCTTTCAGAAGCACATTTGTGAGGTCAGGCACTGATGTCGGACAAGAAGGCCTGGCTCGCAGTCTCTACTCTGATTCATCCCAAAGGTTTTCTATCAGGGGCTGTACCTATGCTTCCTTCATCAGGGTTTGGAAAATGTGAAACAATGAAATGATATATGTGGACACTATGGTAAAGCCATAAGTTAAGCTACTAAGTTACTAAGCTCACAACAGTAAAATCAGTCTGTATATGCAGTAAAGCATGCTTGTTATACTCACAGTGGAACCTAAGGGGTTATCCCTCTGCATTGTGTACAAAGGTTGTTTGATCCTGATTTCTCTGCTCCTCCTTTTGTTCAAATGTCCACCACTTATCTCCTGATAAGACAGACTGAAATGTAGCCATTCTGCACATGCTCAGTTTAGTGTGTATTGCATGAGAGGTTTTTTCTTTTCCTAGGGAGAGTGCATGTGATCAGCACAGGGCCAATCAGCACTGTCCAGACAGATGTTAGGGGATTTCCATCCAACTAGAGCAGAAAGAAAACTCCTTCTAAAAGCTTTAACCAGTGCTCTGCTGAAGTCACAAGACGGCTCTAACTGCTGATGAAAAAAGGTATTTAGCAGTTTATATTTACTAACATAATTGCACTTCCATGTTCTGTGTACTGTGGGAAATCAGATATAGTGAATGCAGGGTCCTGGGTTTAGTAACACTTTAAGTCACTGACCCAGAACAAGCACACAAGTCAGAACTCTGGATTTGGATACTTGTTCAGGTCAGTGCGTTGGAAAATTTTACATCTGTTGGATCAACATGACAGCCACGTGAGCAACAGAAGCCTCCATATTATCTCAATACAGGTATCTTTTAATAGACCTTCAACAGACTTCTGTGATAACAATTAGTGTGGTGCAGCATTAGTTATTGTGGTTATTATTTTTCTACCACTGGCAGCAAATACTGGAAGGTTAAAAAGATAATGAATTTTGATTGCAACATTTTTGTTCATAGAAACCGCATTTAGGCTGGCCATAGATGGGCCGTTTATCGGCCGATATGTCGGCCAATAAATGAAAAATTGGTCGCTGCTGCCATGGATGCTGCCACCAATGCTCACGAAAATTGTCCGTTTTTCGTGGATTTTCCAGCATGACCGATAAAAAGAAACTAGAAGATCTGCGAAAAAACGGCCGACGGCATTGCCCCACTAACGGCATGAATATCAGCCGATTTTTTCATTCGGACGTAAATTCGGCCGATAAACGACCCGTCTATGGCCTGCATAATGCTGGCCATATACGGGTCGTTTATCAGCCGAATTTACTCTTTAAATGTAGTGACAGTTATCTTTTAAGATGGAGGTTGGAGAGCCAGTAAGCTCAGTAATGATTTCCCTATCTCACCCCACTGTATATCTGTAAGATAATGGGTGATAAAGGCCAACATTGTACTGGCCACCTGTTTCATTTGGTTTGGTTTGTAATACTCAGATAATACCACAAGATGGCAGAAAATAGTTACTTAAAGTGGCTCTAAAGTCAAAATTTGTTTGCCTTAATGCATTGCCTGCATTATTATAAAAAACCTTCACCTTGCTGATTGTCTGTTTCAATCCAGCATTGTGTGTGCCCGTCTGCAGTAGTGCTGGATTTTCGCACTACTCTCAGAAGGCTGACTGATAACAGTGGGAGCCATTGGCTACTGCTGCTGTCAATCAAATCCAGTGAAGTGGGAGCAGGGGGCATGGCACTCTGTTAGCTTCAACTGTTAGCTGGGAACAAGGGAGAAATCAGGGATCTTTTAGACCCCTGATCTCTCATTAAAGTATCACTTTTTGACTCCTATGTGATGAAAGAAAAAACATTTAGTACAAAAATAATTTAGAAACATTTTTAAAAATAAATGTTACATCCAAGCACTTAAAATCCCCCCAAAATTTTCTTGAGTACCCCCACATACGTACACTTACAAAGGAAAATGCACATGTTGGGGGCACCTACGCAATAAAACATTGAATGCGTTACATATCTCTGAGGTCGCCGGAGTGAGAACAATAGTTCTAGGTTTATTATTCATGGTTATCTCAAAACTGATGACTTGTAGAGGCGTTTAAAGCATTGCCTATGGAAAATATCGGGTAATGAAGTTTGACACTGTTTTACAGGCCCACACAATTTTAAGACTTGTTGGGTATTTATTTATTCAGTGCAACCTCATCTTTTAAAATTGACCAAAACTGGGTAATATAAAGCATTTGCATGCCATAAAATCAAATGTAGTGTATTTTTAGTAATTTATTTGTTTAAAAATCTATGGTGCTAAATTCTTGTGACATAAAAAATTGGAACTTCCAATATTTTATTCCTTCGCATGTCTTCTTTCAGAAAATATATAATGTTTTGGGGGTTTAAGTACTTTTCAGGCCAAAAATGTTTTTTTAACCATTTGCCGCCCACCCTATGGTCGAATGGCGGCCGGCAAATGTCATTAGCATTCCGGGTGGACGCCATATGGCCCACACATGGGAGCTGTGCAGCAGCGCGATCTGTCACCGGCCGTGTACCTCGGACACGGCCTACCTCGGACACGGCCTATGACAGATCTGAGTATCGGCCCCCGTTGCCGGTACCATGTGACCTGCTGTGACCAATCACAGCAGGACACATGACAGTTGTATACAATGGATGGCTTCATTCATGCCATCCATTGTATACTAGTGTCTAGCTGTGAATGGTCACAGCTAATCACAGGCACATGTCATGTGATTAGCTGTGGCCAAATCACAGCTAAGCACAAAAAAAAAAAAAAAACCCTGAATGAATCAATGTCATTCAGGCAAATGCTTGCTTTGCTATAAGCAAATTGTGTAAAAAAAAAAAAATACTGATCACTTCCCCAGAGTAGTACAATGTTACTATGGTAACATTGTACTACTTTGGTCATAGTGAAATATGAAAAAAAAAATCTTAAAAAAATAAAAAAAAGTAATAAAAAAAAATAATAATAATAAAAAATATATATATATATATATATATATATATTTTTCATACTGTCACCAGTCAGTGTCCCTGATCACCACCATGCCAGTTATATGATGACGCTGTACTGCACTGGTGACAGTATGTAAAAAACAAATTGTGAAATTAATTTTTTTAATTTTCCAAAAAATTATGACAAAAAAAATACAACTTCAAAAAACTCGCCATGCCTCTTATGAAGTACTTTGGACTGTCTACTTTGCAAAAAGGGGTCATTTGGGGGATATCTGTACTGTTCTGACATTCTTGGACCTCAAGAAATTAGATTGGCCGTCAGTACTTCAGGATTGATCAATATTCAGATCTATACCATAGTTTGTGAACTCTATAACTTTCCTACAAACTAAAAAATACATCCTAATTTGGGTTATTTTCACCAAAGACGTAGCAGAATACATCTTGGCCTAAATTTATGAAGAACAATTATTTATTTGCAAACTTTTATAACAGAAACAAAGAAAAACGTGTGTTTTTTTCAAAATGTTTGGTCTTTTTTTTGTTAATTTAGCAAAAAATAAAAACCCCAGCGGTGATTAAATACCACTAAAAGAAAGCTCTAGTTGTGTGAAGAAAATGATAAAATTTTAATTTGGGTACAATGTTGAATGACCGTGCAATTGTCATTCAAAGTGTGAGAGCGCTGAAACCTGAAAACTGGCCGGGGCAGGAAGGTGTAAAATTGCCCGGTATTGAATTGGTTAAACATGTGTGCAAAACAAGTGCAAAAACTACTCTGGCAGTGAAAGGGTTAAGCTATCCAACTCTGTAGAACAGGGTACTATAAGCTTGGTGATTTCAAAAAATATCTCTGTAGAAAAGAGTAGAATAAGTTTGGTGGTTTCCATCAAAAGAACTGTAAAACAAGGTACAATACGCTTGGTAGTTTCTATCAAAAGAATATCTTTGCAGAACAGGGAACCAATGCTTGCTGTTTTCTATAAGAAAAAAAAATCTGTGTAACAGTCTGCAATACGCCTTGATGTTTCTTCCAAAAGAATGTTCAACAACAGCAGACAAAGTGGGACCACTGTGGAAGAGCAAACATTAGGATTGAAGCACAATATGGCACACTATGGACATGACTCTTTCTTCAGTCTAGTTGAGTATATACTGTATGCAGTATAATGTTAAAGGATAATTACCGTACTTTATTTGTTGTTCTGTTCCCAGAATTCTTGCATAATATTTGCTTAAACCGCCTGACTGGTCCTACGTTGTCCCTCTTTAGGTGGCACTTTGTTCAGGGTGGAAGGAGTCAAGTCTGTGATCTGCTTGACCTCCAGCATCTCTATCTCGCCATGGATCACCTCTGCTGTGCATTGTTTCTGCTCCTATAGAAAAGCCTATAAAGAAAGCAAAGAAGGTAAGAAGAAGTCAACTCAAAATGTTTAATTTCAGATGTAGAAAGGTTTCCATAGTTTTGATTGTGTCTGTGTCCCGACTGGGAAAGTTTCCCCTCATTTTCTGCCATTACTACCTTCAGTAGCAGAGGAAGTGAGTGAATCCTCCCCTTTACCATCCACTATCTGACATTGAATAGAAGGTCACATTATATATAGTTTATTCATTCCCCTACTGCATGTTTCGACGCTTATTCCTCCACATTATACACTCCTATTACCTCTCCCTAAAATGTTTTTTACTACAATAAAGTGGTGGAACTACATATAATGAAATACTTTATAACATGATTGTCAGCTTTGTACTCATTTCCCCGATAATCTGTAATGGCACTTTTATGTAGATCACAAACAGTTTTGTTTACTACCAATACTAATTCAGTAGTTTGAGGCACTTTATGGCATTTTGATGCCGGACCTGCTCAACTCCTCCTCCTTCTTTCCATCCAATCACAACAGCAGGAAAGTATATCCAAGTTCAAGCTTGTCAATGCCTTCATGCTTTATGGCTACACTACAAGGGGGGTTGGATTGTGTGGACAGGACCAGCTGTCCTTGGATTTAATGACCACCATAATAAAAAAGGTTTCCTCTGAATATAGTGTTCTTTGCAGGGGCGGACTGACCATTTGGAAACTCGGGCACTGCCCGAGGGCCGGGGACAGTAGGGGGCCCCATGAGATGCCCCTGGTACCTTTTTCATAGGCTTTTTTGAGTTTGGGCAAGGACACAGGGGCCCCATGATCCCCTATTGCCCAGGGGGCCAGTAGGGGGCCCCATGAGATGCCCCTGGTACCTTTTTCATAGTTTTTTTTTAGTTTGGGGAAGGACACAGGGCCCCATGATCCCCTATTGCCCGGGGGCCCTATGATTTGACAGTCCGCCCCTGGTTCTTTGGGAAGGTGTATTAGAACATGTGGATAATAAAAAGCCATCAGGTGTGCAGACATGACCTGACCGCCTTTAGTCATTTTTAACTTGTCAGATTCATGTTATGTGACCATTTGTTTGCCTGTGAAGAGACGTGGTAGGAGGTGGACAGCAGACACCCCCAGCACCAGCTTATAATGGGGAACACAATATCAACTCAATAAGGTTTTCCAGTCTGCCAATTTGTTTCTCCCCTTGACAAGCCTTGCCTGAAGGAGTATGCAGATCCTACATAGACAATGGGGTTGATTTACTAAAACTGGAAAATGCAACATTTTGTGCATCACTATGGATATGGAATAAGTTCCTATGAACCAGCCAGCCAGCCTTATCTGACCACACTGCCATAATGTCACTTAGCTTAAAAATGTATTTAAGCCTCAGTTCACATATATGCCAATTTGGATGCATTTGAACCGCACTAATTCGCATGACCTGTGAACCAAAAGGTTTTTCCGTCGAGCCCATTCACATATATGCAAGCCGGCCATAGTGCGATTTGACAAATAGTCCTGTGTGATTTTCAGTCTGGTAAACATGCAATTTCATATCTCATACACATTAACAATTTGCATTAGAGTCACACCTAAACAGCTCAATGAAATCACACTGGATAGGGCTTTAAAATCGTAATGCAAACCGATCCACACATATGTGAATCCAGTCTAAACAATAATTACATATTGCATACACATCCATGTGTTTGATGCATTTACATGGCTTTGTCTTTTTTATAAAAAAAATTTTTATTGCACATTTATATTGGATTATACACATTTTAGTTGTGTTACACTTTTTCTATATTGATTTCTATTGGTGTTTTAACACACAACAGTGAGGAGCTACAACATAATATATATGTTTTTTATATATATTTGGGTTAGCACAGAAGTTTCCATTTGTTTTGGTTTGTTTTACATATTACATACAGACTGTCCGTTAACACTCAGATACACACAGTGGTCATTTTATTAGGTACTTCTGCTCATTAAAATGGAACTTTAGCCTAAGGTCAGCAAGCTGAGCTTTTATTGACATCTACCAATTTTAAGATTCCTGGCAGTTCTCTATACAGGTTGACTACTTGGAATGTTATATAGTTGATTGAACCAACAGACTCTGAACTAGTTTTTGATGAGTTTGAGACACGGTTGTAGATAAAGTTCAATATCTACCAATGAATTTAGCACCTATTATTACTTACAAATTACCGCCTGGCTCAAAAATTTTCAAAACAACAGATTTCAATCACATGTATAAAAATAGGATAATTATGTATAAGAATTGCGCCTCAACATGTTTTTGGTCTACCAAATACTACAAAACCTATTAAGTGATAATATCTTAATATCCAAAATTAACCTCCTATGAGAGACACACAAAATGCAATCTATCTGTGAAAAAATCTCAGTAAAAATTGCTATACAAGCGTGTTTGTTTTAAATTAATGCTGCTGCCGGCCTATTGGGATAGAACACAACAGCATTTCTAATTTTAAACTCAAAGGGTGGCACTGTACTAACCATATTGTGTTATTGGTAAATGCCTTCTTGTAGTGTAATCATCTAATAAAGATTTCAATAAACTGTGTTATAATATACATCAAACCTTGCTAAATCAATATAATGAAAAATAAAATAACCAAAAACATACACCTTCTCATTTACAATACAAAACAATTTGTACCATAAACCAATTCAATGTCTATAAATCAAACAATATTTAACACATTTCTTGATGCATAAACAGTCCCATGTGATAAACTGAATAATAATAATTGCTGGGAGGATGTCAGATGACGAAACCCATAGGGTGGGTTTTGGATGTGACGTCACCACGTGGGTTGTAAGCTCACGGCCAGAGATTGCGATCTGAGTGAGCCCCGGGTTTATGTTTATGCTGTGAAACTTGTGTCAGTGGAGACACACGGAAATGTGAGTGCACATGGTTTTTAAAGGTAAAAATTACATTTTAAGGATTTTACGATATGCAAACACTTTCTCTCCTCCTCCCGTCATTGATGATTGGGATATCATTGGTGATCGAGAGCTTTTGAGGATTTATTGGGTCTGCAGATTATTACTCCCAGAGGGGAATGCACTGCAAGCTGGCTGTTTACACAGCAGTATGTACCTCTGGTAAAATCATTTCAGTATTTTTCAGTGGTGGATTCACAGTGGTGTTTGGTGGAAGTAAGAAGAAGGAATAAGAAATAAGAAAGAAGCTATTTTTATTATTCAGTTTATCACATGGGGCTGTTTATGCATCAAGAAATGTGTTAAATGTTATTCTTTGACTTATAGAGATTGAATTGGTTTATGGCACATAATTGTTGTGTATTGTAAGTGTTGTAAAGTGATTTTGGTTATTTTATTTTTCATTGTATTTGATTTTCTTATTGATTTAGCAAGGTTTGATGTATATTATAACAAATTTTATTGAAATATTTATTAGATGAATACACTACATTAAGGTATTTATTAATAACACAATACGGTAAGTACAGCACCACCCTTTTGAGTTTAAAATTGCATGGATGAAAATGTAGCTGTAACACTACATAGTTGCACATCAAAATTACGTAAAACGGAGCACTGTTAAATAGAAATTATTGTACTTTCATTGACTCATATTTTCAAATATTATCGCACTTTCAGTGATAGAGAGTTAATTATCAACTTACCATTCATGCCATGGTAAGTTCATTTTGGCAGCAATCTGGGTGCGTCGGTTCTATACATGCACTGATGTCTTCTTTTTCTGCGTAAGCCATTTGCTGAGAATCCTCGTGATAACATAGTAAGAGAGACATACACCTGGACTGTGCTTTTTCTGCACTTGTAAAAAACATCACATGCAAACTGTATAGGAATTTCTGTGCATAGTACGTATCTAAAGGGCAATAACATGGGTTTTTTTTAATGTTATATGTATATTTAACCGATATTATATTGTTTTACTATTTTTTTTTTTTTCAAATAAACATTTAATAGATTTCTGTTATGAGATAGGATTCACAGAGATCTATGAGTTTTCTAAAGGAGAGCATAGCATAAGCTGATTACTTTCAGACTCTTTCTCTCCAAATTAAACTTATGACCTACCTAAACAGGGCGGGGGGAGTGAGGAGGCAGAGTCACTGCTCTGACACTTTCACTTATGTTTGTAAATTTTGGCCTACAACAGGCATACATGGTCTGCCCATGTGAAAGGGGCCTAAGTGAGTGAGGGAGGACATGTGCAGAACATAAGGTTTTTTTACCTTAAAGAAGTAAAAAAATCACCCATTAGTACACCCCCTGCACAAAACACTAAACAGTTAATACATTTGTAAAATTCATTATCATTGAAGAGAAAAGTCTAATTGAATTTTTAGGAAGTCTTCATTGTAATTAAAAAAAATAACAGCATCTGCTCTGCCAAGGAGGAGGTGTAACAGCAGGGATTACATCATATCATCTTCTCTCTCTCTACAGCAGTGTTTCTCAACCTTTTTTCAGTCAAAACACCCTTTGAAATTATGGATAGTCCCGAGCCACCCTTTAAAATTATGGACAGTCTTGAGGCACCCCATTCTAATATAGGGTGCCTCCAGACCAGGCCATGTAATTTCCACTCGCCTGCTCGCCAATGACGAGTGGAAATTATGGTGGGGACGAGTGTGTCCCCCAGGGCCGTCTTGCTGAGCACGTTCGGAGCTCAGGCCGGATCTGTCATTAGCACTGGGAGCCGTCAGACTGCTCAATAGCTGAGCGCAGTGAAAGCAAAGGAAGGAGTGTGTGCTGTGCTCTCTGCCTGCCCCCCTAGAGTGCAGTACCTGGCTCTGTGAGTGAACAACGAAGTACTGCAACTTTTTATAGGGGTGTGTCTGTTTGTTTGTGTCTTTGTGTGTATGTACATGTGTGTATCTGTACATGTGTCTGTGTGTATGTACATGTATGTCTGTGTGTACATGTGTCTGTTTGTATGTACATGTGTCTGTGTGTGTGTATGTATGTACATGTGTCTGTGTATATGTACATGTGTCTGTGCGTGTGTATTTCTGTGTATGTACATATATCTGTGTGTATGCGTGTCTGTACATGCCTGTGTGTGTATACATGTGTCTGTATGGGTACGTGTGTACATGTGTCTCTGTGCGTGTGTGTACGTTTCTGTGTGTATATGTACATGTCTGTGTGTGCGTACAGGTGTCTCTGTTTGTGTGTGTTTTTTGGTGGCGAGTAACTCTTAAGGCTTAGCTAGTAGCTCATATCTTGAAATGTTAAGCCCTGCTCTAGACTGTCCATAATTTTAAAAGGGCACCCCATTCTAAAATGTGAAAAACTATTCTACTAGTTTTATTTTTTAATTTTTTTATTCCAAACAAGTTTTATTGAAATAAATTTGTCAATACAGAATCAAATATGAGTAGACATAAAAAAAGGAACAATTCAAGGGTAATCACATTAGATCCAGTGAATAGAGTCACAAAATCAAATATACAGTTTTCTATTTGTTAAGTAGCAAGAGTTTGCATATGAGCTGAGAAACACAAGTAACAATAACAGTTTGGAGTCGCTACAGGAAGTAAAATGGATAAAGAATGGCATGAGGGCTCCCCAATTCCAGAAACTGCAGTTTCTTGATATAGCTGTCGGAGGTATCAACTTCCAGGGGGCATTCACAAGGTACTATTTGCACTATGGCCAATTTAATCCTCCTTGCATATAGCTAGACCGATAATTGGGAGATTGAAGTCAGAGAACAAAAAAGAGGAGTGGGAAACATGAGAGAGAGAAAAAGCGAGGGGGGGAGAGAGAGAAGAGAAAACAAAAAGGGGGGGGAGGCCAAGATTTGGCAAAGAGGTGGATCCACCATTGACATCAAGGCCCTTCCATAGGATACAGTATAAAAAAGAAAAAGGGGGGGGCATATAACAGCCCCACCCAGCTCAGCATTGCCTGCAAGTTATGTGTGGTTCATGCTATAGAGTATTGCAATTTAGGAAGGGGTGGTACTATCATTATCTGGACAAGGGGTGGGCAACGCTATCCGTTGGAATTCTGCAGTTGTTTGGAAATACAGTCAGGTCCATAAATATTAGGACATTGACAATTCTAACATTTTTGGCTCTATACACCACCACAATGGATTTGAAATTAAATGAACAAGATGTGCTTTAACTGCAGACTGTCAGCTTTAATTTGAGACTATTTACATCCAAATCAGGTGAACGGTGTAGGAATTACAACAGTTTGCATATGTGCCTCCCACTTGTTAAGGGACCAAAAGTAATGGGACAATTGGCTTCTCAGCTGTTCCATGGCCAAGTGTGTGTTATTCCCTCATTATCCCAATTACAATGAGCAGATAAAAGGTCCAGAGTTCATTTCAAGTGTGCTATTTGCATTTGGAATCTGTTGCTGTCAACTCTCAAGATGAGATCCAAAGAGCTGTCACTATCAGTGAAGCAAGCCATCATTAGGCTGAAAAAACAAAACAAACCCATCAGAGAGATAGCAAAAACATTAGGCGTAGCCAAAACAACTGTTTGGAACATTCTTAAAAAGAAGGAACGCACCGGTGAGCTCAGCAACACCAAAGGACCCGGAAGACCATGGAAAACAACTGTGGTGGATGACCGAAGAATTCTTTCCCTGGTGAAGAAAACACCCTTCACAACACTTGGCCAGATCAAGAACACTCTCCAGGAGGTAGGTGTATGTGTGTCAAAGTCAACAATCAAGAGAAGACTTCATCAGGGTGAATACAGAGGGTTCACCACAAGATGTAAACCATTGGTGAGCCTCAAAAACAGGAAGGCCAGATTAGAGTTTGCCAAACGACATCTAAAAAAGCCTTCACAGTTCTGGAACAACATCCTATGGACAGATGAGACCAAGATCAACTTGTACCAGAGTGATGGGAAGAGAAGAGTATGGAGAAGGAAAGGAACTGCTCATGATCCTAAGCATACCACCTCATCAGTGAAGCATGGTGGTGGTAGTGTCATGGCGTGGGCATGTATGGCTGCCAATGGGACTGGTTCTCTTGTATTTATTGATGATGTGACTGCTGACAAAAGCAACAGGATGAATTCTAAAGTGTTTCGGGCAATATTATCTGCTCATATTCAGCCAAATGCTTCAGAACTCATTGGACGCCGCTTCACAGTGCAGATGGACAATGACCCAAAGCATACTGCAAAAGCAACCAAAGAGTTTTTTAAGGGAAAGAAGTGGAATGTTATGCAATGGCCAAGTCAATCACCTGACCTGAATCCAATTGAGCATGCATTTCACTTGCTGAAGACAAAACTGAAGGGAAAATGCCCCAAGAACAAGCAGGAACTGAAGACAGTTGCAGTAGAGGCCTGGCAGAGCATCACCAGGGATGAAACCCAGCGTCTGGTGATGTCTATGCGTTCCAGACTTCAGGCTGTAATTGACTGCAAAGAATTTGGAACCAAGTATTAAAAAGTGAAAGTTTGATTTATGATTATTATTCTGTCCCATTACTTTTGGTCCCTTAACAAGTGGGAGGCACATATGCAAACTGTTGTAATTCCTACACCATTCACCTGATTTGGAAGTAAATGCCCTCAAATTAAAGCTGACAGTCTGCAGTTAAAGCACATCTTGTTTGTTTCATTTCAAATCCATTGTGGTGGTGTATAGAGCCAAAAATGTTAGAATTGTGTCAATGTCCCAATATTTATTGACGTGACTGTTTCTCCAGCAGGCCCAGGTTTTCGTGAATTTAGAAGGAGAATCCTTAGCAATAGAAATTAGTTCCTCCATTTCAGCTACTCTCGACAACCGGGTAAATCTTCTAGTTTTATATAACGTAGCAACATCCACACAGTAGGACACCCAATATTGGAGGTGATTTATTCTTCAAAAGCAAATACACTTTTGCACACTGGTACTGACTAGTATTCCAATGTTTCTCTTCTCCCTCAGTTTTTCTCTCCATCATTGAGCTAATGTGACCCCAGCACTGATGGAAAGGGGCAGAGCAGGGTCAAACTAGGATGTTGTGCAGGAAGCTGACATCCTCCTTATCAAATGATGATGTCATTGGTTGTCAGGACACCGGCGATTAGAAGGTTGTAATGGTGCACAATGAAAACCTGTGACTTTTTGTAACTAAAAGGCAGGCTTCTTTCAACCGCTGTCTTGTATACAAGTTTTGGGCATTTTGTAGACATTTTGCCAAGGCACCCCTGAAGAAATTTCAAGGCACCCCAGGCTGCCTGGGCATCCTGATTGAGAAAGGCTGCTCTACAGTAAAAGGAAACTACAGTTCCCATCAACCTATAGGAATTGCGTTGAATGTGGACGGGTACACTAGGTCTGTACATGTTGACGTGTACACTAGGTCTGTACGTATTGAATGTGTACTCACCCACTCAACATAAATCACACCCCCTCATTCTCCAGCCACACTGCTCAGCACCACACAGCAGGACAGGTGGGTGACAATCTTATAAATGTAAAAATGCATGTTCAAAATATTGAGTTCATTCTATGTAGTCTACCTTAATTGAATATTTAATTCTCCCCCTTCTAAGTTTTCTGTTACTGGCTGTGGCTGCTATCTTCACATGCGCTCTCTCTCCCCCTCCAGCCACAAGAGGAGATAAACTAATTGATCAGAGACTGTAGCCATAGTACAGGAGATGACTTGAAACATATCCCATAGGGTCACAGACAAGAACACACTTACAGTACAGCAAGGAAGGTGTGGAACCTCTGACAATGTTTTTATGGCTGTTTCTGTGTCATGGTCAGGAATTAAGGGGAAGTCTCCCTCCAGTGGGAGTCACAGAAACAGGAAGTCTCCCTCCAGTGGGGTCATAGAAATAGGAAGTCTCTCTCCAGTAGGGACACATAAACAGGATGTCTCCCTCCAGTGGTGTCACAGGGACAGGAATTGTTGGGAAGACTCCCTTCAGTGTTGTCACATAAATAGGAAGTCTCTCTCCAGTGGGGTCACAGGGTCAGGAAATGAGGGGAAGTCTCCCTCCAGTGGGGTCACAGAAACAGGAAGTCTCTGTTCAGTGGGGTCACAGGGTCAGGAAATTAGGTGAAGTCTCCCTCCAGTGGGGTCACAGAAACAGGAAGTCTCTGTTCAGTGGGGGTCACAGAAACAAAGTTTCTGTTCAGTGGGGTCACATTAACAAGAAGTCTCCCTCCAGTGGGGTCACAGAAACACCAAGTCTCCCTCCAGTGGGGTCACAGGGTCAGGAAGTGAGGGGAAGTCTCCCTCCAGTGATGTCACACAAACAGGAAGTCCCCCTTCAGTGGGGGTCACAAGGTCAGGCAGTGAGGGGAAGTCTCCCTCCAGTGGGGTCACAGAAGCAGCAGGTCTCCCTCCAATGAGGTCACAGAAACAGGAAGTCTCCATCCATTTGGGGTCACAGAAACAGGAAGTCCAGTGGGGTCACAGAAACAGGAAGTCGCCCTCCATTGGGGTCACAGAAACAGGAAGTCTCCCTCCAGTGAGATAAAATGAGGTAAAAGGGTCAGGAAGCGAGGGAAAGTCTCCTTCCAGTGGGGTCACATAATCAGAAAGTCTCCCTCAAGTGGGGTGACAAGGTCAGAAAATGAGGGGAAGTCTCTCTCCAGTGGGGGTCACAGAAACAGGAAGTCTCCCCTCCCGTGGGGTTACATAAACAGGAATTCTCCCTCCAGTGGGGGTCACAGAAACAGAAAGTATCCCTCCAGTGGGGCCACAAGTTCAGGAAGTGAGGGGAAGACTCAATCCAGGGCTGTCACAGAAACTGGAAGTCTCCCTCCAGTGGTTTCACAGGGACAGGAAGTGGGGTCACAGATATAGGAAGTCTCCCTCCAGTGGGGTCACTAAAGACTATTCTACCAGTAGTTGTGGTAACTAAACATTGTTTAGCATGGGTTGGCATGTACAGTGGCATGGTATAAATTGGCAGGGTCAGCTTGACTTGTAGTTCTACAATAGCTGGAGAGGGAGCTGTTCTACGCTATATCACTTCTAAATGTTAAAGCAGTTCTTCCCAACATATTACCCCACAGGAACCCCTACAGTACTTTTCAGGTCTCATGGTAACCTTTACTAAAACCAATTCAGTGGGAAAATATCCACCTTACAGTGGTGGTCAGTAGGAACAATGTCCCCCCTTATGTCCATGGCCAGTAAAAGGAATCCCCCC